GAGAGATAGGAAACATAGATTAATCTTTGTCTCTCATTTTGCGGAAGGAGCAAAACCGCAAATCGATACATTCATCAAGGCCCAAGATCGTGTTTTTCACCTCTCGAGAAATTCCTCAGAGGCAGGCCCGCGCCGACAATAGGTGCAAGGTCGTGTGTGCAATCATTAAAACAAGCGTTTCGTCTCGCTGCCTGTATGAACAGGAAAATTCTTGTCTTATTTGATCGCCCCTCCGGGGCTCGACTCAGGTAAAACATGGGAAGCTACTGATTAGTATCTTGTACATAGGCATTCGGCCACGTGGTGGTTAAAATCGTTCCCAGGACGGAGTCATCGAAGGTGATGGCTGTTCAGGTCGACAGGGACCGTCTTGCCAGTTCCTTTCGTTCTGTGTAGATAATGTCACTAGTCATTGTATCCGGGGAGAAATACCCCCGTCGATGGAGTTGGCGATCAGCGAGCCTTTAAATGTTGTGGCTTACAGTGGGCGCCTTGAGCTCAAAACTGCCTATTCATCTACTTCCTGTTTTCCCCTTAGGTCGCTCCCGCCACCTCTGTAACCATACGTATCTCTAGCAGGCGAGTTTTTTCCAGCTGCTGTCAGTGTTTATGTGACTTCGTTCTTCTTCGCTGTTGGGGCCCCGTTGATGCAATTTTTACCATTCCACCAGAACGAATTAGAACTGGTTGCTGACTATTTTCTTTTTGACTATTTAGACTTGGCTCGACCGATAGGTTAGCGGCTTCTTGGATCGCCTTTAAGGGTTGGGGCGTTTAACATTGTTTAACATTGTTTAGGCAGGCTCGACCCTGCCAGGTCTGAGTGCCCTTCCTCTTCGCCCACTGTCTTACTTCACCGAAAGTTATGACCAGGGCAAGAGTTCGTCTCTGGTCTTCTCTTCTGTCTGATTTGAACGTGAAAATACTTGATGTCGATGCGTATGTAAGAGTAGACGCATTTGATAAATTGCTTAATCTTTATTTTTTGTCTACTGTTGCAATTGAAGTAATTTGTTGCAACATTTATCTTTTTTGTGATTGCTTGTACTTATTGTTTTTCTACATAAAAAAGAGCAAGTGCAGTTACATATTATGCTAACCCGCGAACAGACGCACTGGGTCAAAAAGAACCGGTTCGGGATTTTTGAAGAAAAAATTGTAAATCTTCAGAAAACGTTTTACATCTGTGCCAATAGTAAATTTTAGGATCAACCATGAAAAAATATGCCCATTAAAATTTTTAATTTCTAAAAATGCATTTATGGAATAAAATGTCTTAAAGGAATAGTCATTTATATTATATATTAGCTTATTAAAAAAATACTTTATCTCTGTGTCGCTTCTTTACTTTCTTTATCAGCTCTATTATTTACGCTGCATCGATTCTTTATTTTCTTAGTTAGCTCTGAAGCTAGTGTGTTATTAGCTCTGAAGTTTACGCTACATTGATTCATTATTAGCACTATAGACACCGAGGAATTTCGAAACTAGATGATTTTGCTTTGATCTCATCACTTAAATTCGCGGCTAAATCAGTAACTCTTTCCGCAACTGTATTTCGAGACAATGAAATTGATTGAAAAGCCTTCACATTTCCAGGACAAACAATGTCTCCAGGTTTCATTAGGCATTCCTTGATGAAATCACCGTCAGTAAAAGGCTTCGAATGTTTAGCTATCAACTCGAACAAGACATAGCTTGCATGTACCGCCGCTTCACTTTCTTGCAACACTTTACTAAACATGGACTGTTGCTTTTTCACTCCTAACTTGAGCTCTTTCAACTTTTTCTCTCTCATTAATCCTTCGTAATTGTTATATTTCGATTTGTGTTGTTCGTAATGACGTTTAATATTATATAACTTTGTACATTAATAGTATTATTACATATCAAGCAGATTATTTTATCTTTTATTTCACAGCAAAAATATTCTAATTCCCATTTTACTTGGAATATTCTATGTTTCGTCAGCGATTTTTTCGTTTAATTTTACTACCAATTGGTTTGATATAGACATACTGAATACAAAGGGCTGGAATAAACACGGTTAACGTTAAAAGTTAACAAAAAATTTATCACAAGAGATAAATCAAAATGCTGAATATTCTTCAAAAAATTCTAACAATCACAAAGTCAAACGTTAGCAAAAATCAATTCAAAACTTTATCAAAAATCGCTATCTCACAAGCAATCACAGCATCGTAACACAACAATCACATCATACTGAGATGAGTGTTTTTCTCTTTTATAAGCTTATTTTAATTTCTCGAAGTTATATGGAAACATCTATAAATATTTGGATTTTTGTGGGTTGGCAACATCATAACGAGATATTTATTTATGTAGGTAATTACTGCACGCGCTGTTCTATTTTTAAACCTTCAACGAAGCTGTTCTTTTTCAAAATCGCTGCGTTGCTAAGGCACATGAAGCAAATCTAATTTACAATTCTAAATAAAAAAAACAAAAGTCAAAATACAATATAATTATTAATCCGTAAATTAATTAATAATATCTTAAGAAGAAAGCACAGTGCAAGGGCACATCAGTGCACCAATTATCGTACGACTGAGATAGACCATGAGTTTCTACTTCGGCTAAAGGATGTACAGTTCTTAAACAAGAAAAGCCGAAGCTGAACGCAACTCTAAACGCATTTGTTTAATTAATAGGTGGTTGTAACGTGTGTATGGATGTATAACTTTGTTATTACGTAGCAGTAACGCCAATTTTTTCTTGTGGATGTATTTTAATATTTATATATGATTGCCGCTATATTGGGCCGGGCCGCAAAAAACTATTTTTGTTGTGGCCCCTCATTGGTCGCGGGCCCTCGAGGTTGACATCAGCGTTAACTTATTCACAAGAATATATATGAAATGTAGTATATGAGACTGGAACCACATTTAATGTCCCGCACTGGAACTGGTGGGCTGTTGCTTAATATATTAACTACTGCATTAATTACTGACACACATTAGTACTTCTTAACCGAGAAAAGAACAGTTTTAACTGGGTTTATTCCCCGCAAGTACATTTAATATCTAGATGATTTAACTCTCATTACTTAAAGTTTTAGAATGATTTGGAAGCCACACTACGAACGGGGTCTGTTTAATTCCCGCAAGTACATTTAATATACTAGATGATTTAACTCTTCATTACTTAAAAGTTTTAGAATGATTTGTAAGCCACACTACGTCATTTTCCAGCCATCAGTAACTTCGTTCCCCGTACATGTGGATTTTATAATAAACCGGCGTGCATCTTTAGATTAGAATATTTATACTCTTGCCATGTTAGTGAACTATCATAATAGTAAATTTTAAAATTTATTTATACCTAAATCGCTCGAATGTATGACTAATTATAAATTTTACAATGAGTTTCGACAAAGATGGGTCCCGAATTTATCATTACGAAGCAAAGGATAGAAGAGTGTTTCCTTTGAGCAGAAAACCGATTTAAAGGTGCACGAAGCGGCATTTTGGTTTTTGCTTACAATTACAGCGGTTTCTGCCGAGTTTCTCTGAAGGTACTATATAAATCTTATTCCTCTTTTAATTGAATGTAAAGCATTGCTACTTGTTACTACGCTTCATCTGAGGTACCTCTAATCTCTCTGTTTGAATATATTTTCTGATATTCATTTGCTCGTTATTTCATTGGAGTATAATGGTATTTTGCTATAAACAGGAGAAAATTATTATAAATTAATCTTTTTAGAATTAAATATCTGGATATGAAAGTAAATAAATATATTGATTTAATTCTTAAAGAAATAAATGCTTTGAATTTTTGCATGTAGGCGAATCTCAATGTAACATTGATGGATATAACTCTTAAATGCATTCCTTCGTAAAGAGGTGGCAGAAGAGAACGAAAAATAATGCATTTTTTTCTCATGATATAATTATTTTCATTTATATTTTGTATTCGTTGTAGTTTATGACATTTTCCCATTGGACTAATCTTTGGAATATGGTTACAGGTAGTTTGGCGACATTTTGGTAAGGCGATAAAAGTTACTAGCTAGGACTTTAGTAGTGTACATGGATAAAGTCAAGAGTGTGCGCAATGCCATTTTTGTGCAATTCTGGGATGTTTTTTTTTAAGAAAAATAGGTCGACGTGTACAGATGATATGTGTGATGTGATGTGTACCGCTATTCTTAAAAGCGGCAAGCGTTTGCGATTCTGCCCTTCTCTCCCAATTTCGCACCCAATTTCGTCCAATTGAAAACATTTTTTGTTCCATTAAAAGTTCTAGTATAGCGTAATCGGCTAGCGATTGTTTTGGAAAAAAGTTGAGTAAAAAATAAACGCCTTTACTTCGTGAAAACAAATTGCCGTCCAAAACAAAACTAGCAGGTTGCTATATCAGGGTTGGTTGCCAAATTTTCTCCAGAAAATCGCCAAGTAATTTTGTGGTGCTGTAGTAAGTTAAATTCCTAAATAAGTGCCAATTGGTTATAGATAAATAACTTGAAAACAACATTTGCCAAAAAATGTATAATTTTCTCAGTAACGTTTCCCCATGAATGTTGTTTCTTTTCCTTGCTGTCTTCTGAACTATATTTTTTCTGACTTTGAAGTTCATAGTTGTTCGCCAAATTTTTTATTGGAAAATCAAATTTTTAACCAGGGTAAGAAGGGCAAACGTCAAAGTTACTAAGCCGGTAAACATTTTTTCAACAAATCTCTAAACCATTCATCTTCAAACCTGGTGCAGAATCCTGCAATCTCATGCCATGACTCGAGAAGTTAAAAATTTGAAAGGGTTTTCAATTATTTAATTATTATTAATTATTATTTTTACATTTACTTTTTGAAGTTTTAGAGTAGTTCACAGCAAAAAAAAGGGGGGGAAGCATTTTTGAAATAACAGTGGTTTGAAACCTCTACTTTTGAACCATATGAAGAACAAAAGGGTCTACTGCTGCTAATGTGTAGTGGGAATAGACTGAAGAAAGACGGTTTAATCCTAGTATCCGTGTGCCGGATTTGTCTACTTTTGGCACTTATGATAAGCAGTAAAAACGCGAATATATGATGAATAGTAAAGGGTCATTCAATAGGCACTATATATAGTTATATATGGGTATACTATGTTTTTAGATGATAACCTAGTAAATAGTGTATTGTAGATGTATGTATGTGGCGTTATTTGGATGGACCCAAATATCAACCTGTGAAATGCATGTTTAACGAAGATGTTTGGTGAGTAGGTGTCATGGCGTTTTGTCGACGTTACAAACTTCGTAAATTGAAACAGTGGTTGCGGATTGTTATGTGAGATCACGTCAATGGTAGGGTTCTTCGGTAAGCAAGGTAGCCGAGCGTGGTTAGTGTATCGAGATTTATTCCTCATATTTGAAAAGCGGAAAAACATCATCCCTAAATCACAGCGCTGACGAAAGGGTGTCCTAAGTGATCGTTGACGACATTAAGAAATTGTGACTGAAAAAATATTAAGACCACAGCCAAAATACTGCTGAAATAAATTGTGTTACCGAACCCTGAGTACCAAACAATTAAAAGGGGAAACATAAACAGGCTTATTGCTGGCCGTGCTGCAAGGAGAAGCCACTCATCAGTGATGCTAATGCCCGTAACAGGAAAGTGGTGTTTTAAGTAAAGCCTGGACTATAGAGCAGTGGAAGCGAGTAATGGTCTACGAGTCCTTCTTTCACACTGTTCACTTCTGGCCATTTACGTCTGGAGAAGCCATCTCAAGCCTATAATACAGACTGATTGTTGCCAGAGTGAAATAGGCAGGGGTTCTGTTATGGTGGGAGCCATTCGGGTTCTCTGCTACCCCATGTACTGTGTCAGGGCACATGACTGCCAGATTTATGTGAACATTGTGGCCGATCAAGTTCATCCCATGGTACAGACTTTGTTCCCGATGGTGATGGGTCTTCCAGACGACAAAGCCCCTGTTCACACAGCTCACATTGTCCAGGACTGGTTTTGAGCACGAGATGAGTTGTCCCATCTCCCCTGGCCACCACAGTCACCGACTGATATTATCGAACCTTGGTGTGTCTACATTGGAACGGAAAGTGTGTTCTCGTTATCCACCGCCAACATCGTTATCTGAACTTTCCAACCGTTTTGCAGGAAGAATGTATATATTCCCTTGGCAAACATACAGGAACTGATATTTTATTCCGAGAAACTGCAAGCTGTTTTTGGATGCCAACGGGTTTCCTACACCATATTAAGCAAAGAAACATGTTTTTTTAAAGGTGTTTCCATATTTTTGTCCAACCCCTGTATATAGAAGTTCTTTGGATCATTTTTGGTATTGGCGATAATTTTCAAAATCGCGCCAAGGCTGCACCGTGTACTAGGATTTTACCGAAAAGGCAATTTTCTGGTTTGGAAGAAGTTTTAATATTTATTTTGATTATTAAATATAAAATTATGAGTATTTCAATTTCAAAAGAGAGCTACAATTCTGACAGAAAAGTATGTCGTTGTTTTGGATAGTTAAGTATCTTTGAAGTGGTTAAATAATTATGGTTGAAATGAACTCTACAGTACCCCTTAGTGAATTGTTTCTTTTTTGACAGACTATCAGCACCAGGAAGGATCGGCATCAATTTCAAGATGGTGCCGATCCTTCTACCTGCTATACAAAACCAAAACAAGAAGTCAAAGACTTGCACAAACTCGGTGTCCATGTACACATTGACCTATTTTAACTGGAAAAAAATCAGAGAATTGCACAATCTCGGCATTGTGCACTGCCTTGACTTTCTTTGTGTACACACCGATTTATTTTCACTTAAAATCAGGAAGCTAAAACCAAGATAAAACTATCATGGTAACCGGAAATGAGATGGAATGATAACCAAAATGTGTCGCCAATGAATTGCACAAATGAGGCATTGTGCACTGCCTTAACTTTGTCTATGTATACATCAATCTATTTTCACTTAAACAAAATCAGGAAGCTAAATTAAAGTTAAAACTATCATGTTAACCACAAAATATTCGCTGCTGTCTTAACACACAGAGATTAACAAATAACCAAAAATACACAAACAGAGAGTAATTAATAACCAAAAATACATATTTCTTAAAATAAAAACATTAAACAACAAATCTTTTAACAAAAGTTAATGCACAGAGACTAATAAATAAATGAGACGTCAATTTTTAACATACCTTTTTTTTACATGCATACGTTCACGCTTCCCACCACCATCTCCGTCCTCCATGTAATTTAAATTATTGGTTGTTTTGGCTCATCTGCTGTTAATGGTGGATAAATACGTATAATAGCTTCCAAGTCAACATTCATCCTGTTACTTGCCTCAGACATACTCAAATGATGATACCTATGTCAAAATACAACCACCAACGCACGTGCAACCAAACACAGCAGTTGAAAAGAATGGTAAGAATAAAAAAAAAAACCAGTCTATATGAAAGGGTTACTATTACAAAAAATAGCCAAAATCTCAATTTATAACAAAATGTTTGGCGATATTTGCAGAAGCAACCCCTTTTTAGTGATAAAAACTAAAAAAAGAAAAAAAAAAAAAAAAAAAAAAGACAGTTTTCCCCAAGACTAGCTTCGCCAACATTATCATCATTAGGGTTACCGAAATACCTATTTCACGTAGTGGGCTTCCAGATTTCACGAACAACCAGTACCACTTGGCGATTTTTTCAGACGGAAACCAGAGGGTACTATACAGTAAAGATCAGCCGTAATTATAAACATTGTTTTGAATTAGAAGCACTTAATGAATAAACAATGTAAACACATAAACAGTCATAATGCTTATTAAAAAAATATTTAAAAGGTTGGTTTTATAATATTGAGGCATTTATTTTAAGTTTTATTAACAGTAAAGCTTTATGTAAACAGTGTCATATCATTTCTTTGATTTGTGTTACATATATTCTCTTAGACTAGAATGTTGAGGAAAATAAAATTATGCAAGAGAGAGTTTCAGACCTAGCATAGTTTAACTGCTACTTGACCCTTGTGGAGTAAAACAGCCCTAAATACAAGAACTAGTGTCAGTACATTATCTAACAAAAAGTATTTGGGCACCTATGATAGAAAGGAAAAACAGAACTTGGCGGCAATTGAATTGGAAGTTGATCTGTCAGCACCATCCTTATCTTCAGGGCAGATGTTTTCATTTTATTTGGCTTATAATTCCTTACTAAATGTAGTATTTCATCTCGATGTATTCCGTCTTTGATATGATTTAAATCAAATTCCTCGTCATTATAATTTGCTTCCGATAGTGAAGAAAGTGACACAGAGGTTATTGAAAACGAAAAAATTTCAATTGACAAATTAGTCGGTATTCTCGACACAGCAATTATAGGACTTGAACAGCGAAACTTTTTAACTGAACAAGAAATTATGTCTGCTTATAAAATTAAAGAGAAAGTATTATCACATAAAAAGAAGCAACTTAAACAACTTACATTGAAAGAAATGTTTAATAAAGTAAACAAATAAATATTAGCTTTTTTTTTTTTTTTTGTAAATTTTGATACCCTTAAATCATAATTGTTCTTTATTTCATAAATTACGGTTTCATATTTTTAATTTTATAATTTCTGCATGCCATCTTGCCAGATTTAAACTGATGTTCTATAATCCAGAATCGCCAAAGTCCCGACGTGTCCGGATTAATGACCTTGACTGTACTTATTACTTTTACTTTTTGGCCACTAATAATTGTTGTTAGTTTAGTTTCATGAGAGTGGCAGCAGGGCAATTTATAGAATTAGGAAAATATGTTTCTGTAGTTAGTTAGGCTTTATTGATGATTAATTGTATGTTATGTACCTGAGTGATATTTTATTAAATAAATGAATACTTTAGAATATAGTAGTCTCTTTAGAGTCTGTAATACGCTGGTAGCGTAATAGTTTGACACGTAAGCGAACACACCTTAAAGAAAATACCTTAAAACACTCACATTGAAACTACTGAGTGAGACTCGTTGGGAAAGTTATATAGATTCTCTGAAACCATTAAATTTTGAAATAGAAAGTATTGACTATGCTTTATCAAAAATTTATAAAAATGTAGATAATATGATTCGAAATGAGACCAGTGGTTTATTGATCACAATAAAACAATTTAAGTTTTCATGTTTGATCATCTAATCCGATGAGTAAACTACTTTATTCAGAAGATTTTGATTTATTCTGAGCTACTGATTTATTAAATTGTTAATTAACTTTTTAAAAAAGAATTAAGATCGCATGAATTCTCTGACAACATTATCTTAGAAGCTGGAAAATTAGCTAGCAAAATAAACGTAGAGAAAAAACTTTGAATTGATTACGCTGCTTCGTGTTTTATCTAAAAAAACAAAATATTTTGTATACAAATGTAGATGAACCTATACAAGATTCAAAAGAGAAATATAAAATAGATCTTTTTTTTTTTTTTTTTTTTTTTTTTTGCTGTAGATCATGTGATCAGTGCACTGGAGCTGAGATTCAAGTAACTGAACAGTTACAATGACTGATTTTTATACCATGTCCAATGAATTCAATAAAAATGAATTATTGGCGCATTTTAAAGATCAGGAAAATGTCTTAAGAGATGGTGATTCCTCCGATCTTAATGCTTTAGAATTGGCTGACGAAATAGTCCTTGTTCCTTCATTTTTAATCCTCTGAGCGGCACAGGATTTTAGATCCGTCATGAAGACCGGTATTTAAACAGCATTTATTAATTTTGTATATTTACTTATTTTAGTCTGTATTTTCATAAACTTACATTCATTAAGATGATATTTACATTATTAAAGAAAGTAAGAAAGCAAAATATCTTAAATTAGAAGCTAATATATGCCAAGTAGCAAAGCTTCTGATGACCAGATAAAGCCGTTTCAGAGGGTTAAAAAAAGAAAAGAGGTCTAGTTGATGTTCTTAAATTCATTACTTCCCTTAACAATGGGAGAATTAAGCATTGCTTTAAGAATTTTGCTAACCCTGCTCATAGCTGTTGCTACCAGTGAAGGATCTTTTTCTGAATTAAAAAAAAAAAAATAAAACAATTACTGAAGAACCATGTCTTCTCAAAATCATCTTAATGGGTTAGCAGTGTTTGGCCTTGAGTAAGAATTGAGTAATGGATTTGAAAGAAGTTATTCACAATTCTGTAAAAAAAAAAAAAAAACTTCAAAAGAGATTATTTTTTAAAATTTAGTTTTAAACTTTGTATATTGTTATTCTTTATTCTTTGTTGTTTTAAAAGTATTGTTTATATTACTTTTTGTTCACAGTTTATGTGCTTTTTTAAAAAAATAAATCATAAATATCGCATAAGTGTTATTGTCTTAATTCAATTAGATTAAAACATATTTTTCCATATGTAATTTTTTTCTTTTAATTTTGAAGTTTTTGTAACTTGAAGGGCACTTTGAGCTTGAAGCACTTTTGAGGTTTGCATACAGCGGCAAAAATGCTAGTGCTGGCCCTGGTAGTAGGCACCTTTTGTCAATAAGTGCAATATGTCATCATAAATTAAAAAATGAACTGGTGTCAGAGTTAAATATATATTCAAATGAAAATAGTAAATCTAATTCATCCAATAGTGATTGCATCACCATGTCACATCACTTATTCCTTAAATTTCATAATTTAAATGAGCATTTCTGTATATAGTGAGACTGAAACACTAATAAGTGATTTTTTTAATCCAAAGATATATTTCTGCTTTGTGTATGTAGTTATGCATGTAAACTTATTTAAATATATATAAAATTTTAATTTTCTGATTATCTGCCAGATGTCGCACAAGATCTTAAATCTTGTGTTTAAGATCTGATGCAAGCACATCAGACAGTGGAACAAGGAGTCTCCTATGCATGCAGTTGAAAATAATCTAGTCTGAATATTTCTCATTAAGTTGTGCATATGGATAATGTGAAACCAACTTTTCTTGAATGCGATAAAAAATATGATAACCCAATTCTATCAAAACAACTGTCATGCTTGCCTTGGCTAGCATTTTTGAAACTGTGATCAGTTTTTAAGCAAAAGATGAAATCATAGAATTGAAAGCATGGTAGAATACATGCATCAACAACTAAAAGCATTTATTAAATGTCAATTACAGTTAGATGGAGTGAAACATCAGTTTTGCTTGGAATGAGGTCATTCATTAAACAAGATATTGAATCATCACCTGCTGAAATGGTCTATGGAACTAACTTGGCACTTCCAGGAGAATCTCTCTATAGTTCTTCAAATGTGGTTCCTTCAAAATGTTGATTTTGGTCAATCAGTGCGAGTTCTTTGACCAGTTGTAGCTTCTTGGCACTTTTTGGGTAATGTGTTTAAATTTTCATGTATACTGTATGAATAGAGAAAGCAACCATATCAGGAACCATTCAAAGTATTGGCTTTAAAGCAGGGGTTCTCAACCGGAGGTACGCAAGAGAAAATAGAAGGTATGCAAAGAAGCAAAGTATTTTTAACTATTAAATTCAAAAATTAAAACCCCAACATCCTCATTGAGTTTTTTCTCTAACTCAGATCTTTCTTTCAGAGATCTCTTTCAGGTAAATTTCTGCGATCTGAGCTTTGTTCAAGAGTGGTGGTACTAAAGGTTTTCAGTTTTCGTTTAGATGGTACGCGTTAGTCAAAAGGTTGGGAATCGCTGCTCTAGAATAGAATACATATTATAATACTAAGCCAACACATTGGATATTTGCTAATCTAATTCCATGGTTCAAAAACTTCACAGAGGTTTGCTAAACGTTATCTTGACTGACCTGAATGACTAGAGTGAAAATTTATCAAAATGTGTAACATTTTAATGCCAGATAAGTTTTCTTCTTTATATGAATATGTTTATGTAAATAAACATGAAGATGCTCTCAAATAACTCCAAACATATTTGCTTATTTTTAACTGTAAGATAGGATATAATGCTGTTCAGGATCTCTGCATTAATACACTGAAGAACCAAAACATTATGACCACCTACTCAGTAACGAATTGTGCGACTTTTGACCTCCAAAACAGCTGCAACTCGCCTTGGCATGGATGCCATAAGTTCTTGGCAGATGACTGCAGACAGGTTGTACCAAATGCAAAGTCGAGATATTCCGATATGATAGAGTTTGAGCTCAGAGCTGCTGCTCCATGACATCCCAAACGTGCTCATTGGGTTAAGATCCGGTGAGTTAGGTGGCCAGGAGATTAATTAGAATTCATCCTTATGCTCCTCGAACTACTCTAACACAATTTAAGACTTGTAATATGGGGCATTGTCCTGCTGGAAAATTCCATTTCCAGTTAGATGGACAGATGCCATGTAAGGGTGCAACTGATCTGCAGTTATGCTCAGAGAGTACACAGCTTTCATGGTTTGCTCTACCACAGCTAAAGGCCTCAGAACCGCTCATGAGATTGTGCCCCAAAGCGTAATACTGCCACCACCAGCTTGTGTATGACCCGCCGTACAGGAGGGGAGCAACTGTTTAGCTGGAAGACGGCATACTTTGACACGACCATCGATGTGATGAATGAAAAATCATGATTCATCTGGCCAGGCAACTGTCTTCCACTTATTCATGGTCCAGTCTTGATATTTTGAGTCCACTGTAGGCATAGTTGATAATGCTTGGTCAACGGACACACATGATGAGACGTCTGCTGTGCAGTCCCATATCCAACAGTGTCCACTGAACTGTGTGTTCCGAAACACTTGCTCTTGGACCTGCACTGTACTGTAGTGTCGTCTGAGCCACCATCTGACGATTTTGCTGTACCAAGCAGGACAGTCTCTGATATCCTTTTTCTTTGATGACACATGAACATCCAACACCTTGGCATCTACTGCTGGTTTCACCATCATTTTATCCACTTTGCATAAATACTAACAATGGCAGATTGTGAACAACCAACTAGTCGTGCAATTTCGGAGATACTTGTTCCGAGTTACAAGCTGCCGTCTATTAAATTTGTTTAGCTCAGCAGCCTTTCACAGAAGTGAAGGAATGATTCCTTACCTTCTCCAAGCAGCAATTAGGTACCATTCCCATTCAATCAAGTGCCTTCCACGTCATCCAGACGAGTACATTCAAAAATGTGGAATGGTCATAATGTTTTGGCTCATCAGTATATGTGTTATCTTTTTTTGCAAAAGTTATTGTGTTTGTAGATATTATTAACCAGCATACAATGTATTATATCAAATTAAATACTGATATTAGATTCATACGTTTAAAAACTAAGTAAACCAGCGTAATTCTAAGCATATAAACTTAATTTTCATCATATAGTTTTCCTCTTATTTTCTGTTTGGAGCAAAAACTTATTCTCATGAACTTTACATAATAAAAAAATTATAAATGGTTTTGAAATTCTGATTATATTAGTCATAATTTCAGAAGGGTGCAAACTATCTTCTGTTAAAGATTTACTGATACGAGCTTTTTAATTACTTTATTTGGAAAAGATAAGTATTTATTGTTTCTGATAATTAAACAAGTATTTGTTCTTCATTATAATTAGTATATTAAACAAACACCTTTGATTTTTTTTTTCTTTTTATCAAGAGCAATGGGAAAAAGCAAAAAGGCGGATTTTCAGAAAACGAAATTGCGTGTTGGCCGCATTCTTCCAAAGGGTACAAATGTGACAAATACTTCATTCAAAGCAAAGAAGATTATTACCCGAGATCAAAGACTGATTAAAACAATAAATGAAAAATTAAAGGTTAGTTCCTCCATTTATATTATCTTTACTTATTTTAGGAAATTTAAGATTAAAGGTATTCATTTATTTTCCCTTTTTACCTTATATTAAAGAGAAGTATGCTAATTGTGGGGATTTTCTATTCAAGATTCTTGATAATTCTTGAGTAGATTATGGTAACTCTACTTTAATGGAAAAATTATAAACTGATCATCTGAATTAGATAGCCTGCTGTTTTCATTAGCATACTGTATTATAAATTTTAATTAAAAAAACGTGGAGTAAAAATATATTTACGGTTGACCCTTGCCGAAAATTGCTGATTTTTAGCGGTACATTGATACCATGTTTGTGCATTTTGTCTTCCCGCTACACAAATCCAAAATAACAAGTCATAGAATTGCACAAACTTGCTATTCATGTACACATTGACCTATTTTCACTTAAAAAAAATCAGAGAATTGCACGAACTTGGCATTACGCACTTCCTTGACTTTGTCCATATACACTATTTTCACATAGAAAGTCAAAGGAGCAGCCAACAAAAATATATAATCTCAATAAACTACATGTTAAATCAAATAACATAAAAAAGGAAATTCATCTTAGAACTACACAAAGGAAATATCCACTTACCTTATTTAGAAATTTTCCTGTGTTCAGTCAAACAAAATTCCTTAATAGCATCCTAAAATTGTCTGAACTAAGATCAATTTAGAATCTGTATACTGGCATCGCATCATAACTTCAAGAAGATAACAGTTAAAAATATCCTCCATAGTGCCAGTATCCTCCGACGTTTGACCATATGCATTTCTTTCCTACAAACAGGACACATATAATGCCTACTAAATAAATCTTGATTTACACATGAGTCAATGCTCTTTTTCCCTTTCGTTCCAAATTGTACAGAAACTTCAAATTAATCTCACCACATTCAGCCATTTCACCTTCTAAACCACAAAACAAGCAACAAACTTCCTAACCAACACGCACCACAAGCCCTTACAAATGTTTTCCCATTATTCAAATTCACCGCAATCACGCAACCAATTACATCATAATAGGGTTTTCATAACATTCAACTACTCAGGTTACTATAAATGATACAACAACTTGGCAATTAATGAAACGACTTCGTGATAATACAAGGGACACCCTTAAATCTACTCTAACCAATCATGGATACCTGTTGGTTGTCCTGTCTCATATTTCCTTGACAATAATTTAATACTTTTTCATTATTATAGCTCTTATTAATTAAATGGTATCGACATATTTTACAAATTATAGCCAAATGGCCAATAATCCGAACAGCAGGAATTTGTGTTATGCTGAACTAAAGTCTTTTTTTTTTTTTTTTTTTAAGAATATTAACAGTTTTTGCTGTATGAAGACGTGGAAGATGCTGAAGATTGTCATTGGTTTGCATTATATATTAGCAATTTATTAATAGTGTTGTCACTGTTAAAATACTGGGGAGAGGTAATAAAAGGGGTAATTTTTCTTTTGGATTTTAGATATTGCAACTTGGAAAGTTTAGAAGGATTTGAAGGCTCACAAAAAGAGACTTGTGATTCTAGAAGTTTAAAAAAAAAAAAAAAAAAAAAAAAAAAAAGTGACAAAATGAAAAATAGCTTCATGGTATTAACACAAAATGGATGTATTTTACAGAAAGTTTGATGAATTTCTTAGTTTTCTGGAGAATTTTTAGAAGAACAATGAAAACATAATATTTGATTGTTTTTCTTCTGATACTAGAAGTCTTTCATAACATGTTTATCTTACCTTTATTTTCACTAGACACAAGCAGGGAAAATATCAGAAGTGCTTCTAATTTTATCACATGGGCAAGCATCTGTAAAAAGAAATTTTTCTATTAAAAAAGAAATTTAAAAGATTCATCTTATACAGGTTGAATCTAAAAAAGTTGGCAAAACTTTATGGGGTGATAGAACTAGGGCTGTAGAGTCGGTAGGGAAAATGTCCGACTCCTGGAATTTTAGACTCCAAATCCCTCATATATATATATATATGTAAATGTACAGTACACATGGTTTACAGCTTATTTTTTTAATATAAAAGAAGTAATAGATGCTACAGAAAAAAAATTGATGGCATAGCAAATTATTTATATTAATTAGCATTTATTATGAAACAGAAAAACTTTCATTAGTTATTTGTAAGAAAAAGTATAGCTTCGGCAAGACCTTCTTTGTTGGAGGGCCATAGATCCAATTTGATAAACTTCAGAGAAGAGTCTTTCCACACTAAATTGAGTAGGAGGAACAGCTCTCCTTCTACTCAAGTTAGTGTGGAACTACTCAAGTTAGTGTGCTAGTACTTCGTTTAACATGCATTGAGAGCAGAATTTAGGAATGCATTAGGCAGCAGAATTTAAGACCTATAGCAATTGCATTAGGTGAGAAATTGTCACCTATGGACTATATACAGTAATAAATAGTTATTTTCTATTTTATTGACATATTAATAAATATAAGGGAGGAGGATGGATGTGATATTTGCCATTAGTGATTAAATTGATTCACTTAGTTACAAATCTGACTGGTAAATTTAGGTAAGCAGCACTAGCAGCAAGAACTCCCAAACTTGATGACATTCTTAGGAAGTGAGCAGAAAAGGAGCAATTATTGATTAAGCAGTACAATAAGAAAGTACATATTTGATGATAAAGCGGTTGTTAGAATTAAGATCTTTTTTAGAAGATGTAGATAACCCTAATGTTTCACTAACAGAAAGACTGTGGAATGATCTTGCAGAATTGGAAACTCTTCTTTCTACACTGTATATAGCCACAAAAAAGCTGCAATCTGAAGAATTGACAAGAGGTGTGAATGGAGGAATGTGATGTTTATTCTTTCTGAAATGGAGGGTTTATTACAGAAGGAATCATTTCTTCAATGAAGAAAAAAGAAACTAGTTTTTAGACAATGGGATCTTGCTGGGTTCAATCAATATATGTAGATCCGAAATACCCAATTTTCTTGGATGAGGAACAAATTAAAAAGACGAAGAAAGCCATCTATGAACTTTCATTAAAAATGAAATTATTCTCAGAACATTTGGAGAATTCGAATTAGGACAGTCAAACTGCAGACATTGCAAATGAGTCTCTATCATTATCTTCCAAAGATGAATTAGATTTTGAGAACTATTTTTGGATAATATTGAAAAGGTTAAGGCAAAGTGAATGAAAGTAAAGAACCATTAGCATTTAGATATAAAAATGAAAAAATACAAACAAAATTTCTACATGGCCTTTGAAGAAATAGAGAAATATGATTGCGCTTGCAAGACACCTCTTTTAGAATTTATAAAAATTCTATCCTGAAAAGTTAAAAAAAGTAGCTGTAACAGTAACAGCTCTTCCTCCTACTCAAGTTAGTGTGGAAAGACTCTTCTCAGCTCTGAAGTTTATCAAATCGGATCTATGTCCCTCCAACAAAGAAGATCTTGCCGAAGCTATACTGTTTCTTAAAAATAACTAATGTCAGTTTTTCCATTTCGTAATAAATGCTAATTAATATAAATAAAATAATTTGCTATGGCATCATTTTTTTTTTTTTTTTTTTTTCTGTAGCATCTATTACATCTGTTATATTAAAACAATTAGCTGTAACCCTGTGTTACATGTTTACATATATATATATATATATATATATATATATATATATATATATATATATATATATATATATATATAATATATTGATGAGGGAGTCGGATTCGGTCATTTTCCTTACCGACTCCACAGCCTTGGTTACAAGAGCACACGCACTAGGTTCAAAAGACCCAATTCATGTTTTTTGAAGAAAATATTGTAAATCTTCAGAAAAAGTGTTACATCTATACTAATAATAAATTTCAAACTTAAAAAATATGCACATTAAAATTTTTAACTTCTTTAAATGCTTTTATGAAATGAAATTTATTAAAGGCATAAAAATTGTATTATGTATTAGCATTGGGGGAAAATATTATATAGTTTGGTGACCGGAAAAATGCATACAGAAAAATAGCCCACAGGAAAAATGCTCACAGAATAAGGCTCGCAGGTATAAAAGCTCGCAGGAAAAAAGCCCGCAAATATGCGCATATGGAAAAAAGCTCACATTAACCTTTTAAGGGGCGGTAAATAAAAGCATGAAAACTGTAGTAAAATTTTGCATGTACTGTAATATTTTATACCACTGCCCCTGTACAACATTTTTTTTTCCCCTGTAACTGCTAATAATTACTTTTTGTTTATTTACTCTCTTTTTGCATACTTTTGATGTGTATCTATAGATATTGATGTTTGAATGTAGTTACTCAAGTTTGGAGCCAAAAAGTTATAAAATTTCTGCAGACATTTAAAATTTTATAAATAAAATTGAAATTTTTAGGCACTTTGATGATGCATCTCAGTTGAACATTATGAAGCAGCCTTCGAAAAGTCTCCTAAAACCACAAATTGTTGCGAAGGCTCTCATAACGCACTAAATTCATTATTTAATTGTAGCTATTCCAGTATGTGGCTTTTATTTGACGGACTGAAAAAAGATTTAGCTTCTCAACATTTGTTATTAGCTAATGTAAATACAGGATGTACTGAAGTAAAGAAAAAGAAAACATGAAAAACCTACATTTGGTAATTGTTATCATGTAAGAAACTATGATGAAATCGATAATAAATTAAATATTTTAAGTAATTTAAATAAAATAATCATTCGAAATTCTCATTCATTATCTTCTAATGTTTATATTATAAAATGTGTACTTATATTTATTTTATTAATTTTAACAATTAAAATTGTATAATTTTTCACTGTATAATTCTGTTTCATGTTTACTTCCTTTCTCCTCTCCTTTTCTTATTCAAAAAGCCCATTTGCTAACCTTATATCGCAATGAATATCCCATAAGTTATAAAATTTTTGAAATATATACCATATTGTTTTTGGTAATTTAAAATAATTTTTCTTTAGAAAATTCAAGTAGGTGTACGATGTTCAAATCGA